ATTACTGTTTTCTTGAATGTATACTTCAGTAATTTTATTCGAACAAAAACCTACCAAATTTAACTCAATTTTCCTTTGATAACTTGAAAAAAAATAAAAAATCTCATCTGAAGTAGAAATGGCTACAACTATCAAAACCAAAAATAACATGGGGTATAAAGTTTCTAGACTATTTATATTCTATCCGTTTTTTTAAAAAGGTAAATTGAATTTTTTTACAACTTTTTTGTTGAAAAAATTTTAAAATAAAAAATAGTTTTGCGTTTGTTTTAAGATTTTATTACTGTCGGTCTCTGAATTAATGTATAAGAATTATACTCTAAAAAAACATATCTATTACTATTGCTTCATGAGTAAACCAAAGTAATTAGTTTATAATTAAATATGCTTTTAATTGCTCACACTAACTTTAAATGATAAATATCTCTAATTTTTCGAAAGAAGAGAGAATTAACTGCAATGGCGAGTATTAAATCTAGTGTAGTTTAAAACCATGACTTTCAGAAGGCAAAAATTTTAAGAAAATATGCCAAAACTTACATACTTGTTTTATTATATAAAACTGATACTGTCTGTCAAGCAGTAGCTTGAACTTTAAGCTACACTTTGTTAACAGCAATCTATGATTCTTTTTCTATTTAAGATATTTATTAAAATTATAAAGCCCATAGTCAAAGAGATGGAGGTTGAAAATAAAATTATTTCTAATAAGAATTTTAACTGTCAGGAAGGGAAAATCTCTGACAACACTATCCTCGTTTAATGCAATTTTTTGAAGGCTATTGGGCAGTTGTCAGCTTTATATGGCTTTTTTTTTTTTTTAAATTGAACTAAATATTTAATGATAACTATGTCATGAACTTTATATCAATGATGACTAATCCCATATTCTAATCACAAACATATCTGTTTGCAGCTTTTTTTAAGTATTTGAAATCGTTTGTGTTTATACAAGTACCCATAAAACCTTTTAAAAGTCTTTTTATCGTCTGTGTATAAATTAAGGGACCTTCAGGACAACGAAGTGTAATTTATATTTATAGTGCTATAAAAATACCCGTTATTAAACAATTTTAAATATTCCTTTAAAATTAGTCATTATATGAGTTTATGATCAACATAATCCTTAACGAAATCTATGGAGTAACTTCTATGTATACATTTTATTTTTTTGCTGTCCTTAAAATAATTCTTCAACGGTCAATGATCTCGTTTCTTATCTTACACCTTTCTATATGTCTTCTCTTACAAAGTCCACATGTTTTTATGTTCCTCTAAGATTAGATTGCCTAAGGCAGTCATTTTGACTGCTTTTAGCATATTTTTATATGTGTTACCCCAAGTTTCAGTCAATCTTGTCAAGCAGTAGCTTCAACTGGAAGCTACGCTCTCACTTCTGCTAAGGTGTATTAGCATTTGTTTCTTTTAAAATATTTATTTAAAATTAGTAAACCCATCATCGAAGGAGATGGGAGTCAGAAATAAAGATATTTTAAATAAAAGTATTTTTAGTAAGACTTCAGATTGTCAGAAAGGTTAACCCTCTGACAACAAATCTAGTGTTAAATATGATTAAGAGATTTTTTGTAAATCAAAGGCGTCTTCTTAGTTCCAGTTCTTCTAAAAAGTGGAGTCAGTTTCATCTTTAGGGGTGGAAAGTTAAATTTATAAAAAAGGACCCTAAAAAACTAACAATAACCTAAACTTTTTATGTTTTCTTTTAATTTTGGAAACAGTATAAGAATTCTTGCATATACATCACATTATAAACTTGCATATTGACTCCTAATATCCAGTAAACTCATCCTTTATTAATTATGACCTCAATTGTATTGAGGGAAATGCTTTGTAGAGAGTTTTTAAGAACTGTACATTGTAAGTAAATCTTTATTAAGGCTTTATATCTGAAATGTGTTGCACGTTTTTCAATAAAGATATTTTATTTATTTTGTGTTGCACGTTCTATGAAAAGCATCTAAAAGTCTATTATTTGTCATGATTTACAAAATAATTCTTCTTTTACATTTGTAGGTAAAACCTAATTTTTCAGATAAAATATCATATTTTCTTATAGTTGACCAATCAGAGACTGTAATTCTTACTTACTTGTTTTGTTTACTTCAATAAGTTATCCCAGAAGCAACACTTCTGTTAATTATACTATATTGTAACTAATTCCTTGTGTTCTATATTTTTTCAAAGTCATAAGAGGTTTTTATGTTCAAAATATAAATATGTCAGGCCTGTTCAATATTTGCTCATAAACATATGTATCTTGAGAAATATTTTTATAAACCTTCAATTAATAGTTTTTTTGTCAAACAAAACAATTTTTAATTTATTTTTTATTTTAAAATAAAATATTTGAAATTAAAAAGAAAATTAAAGATTTTATAACATACTTTATTTTTCTATATTTTACGTTACAACATAGTTAGTTGACACAAGGGTCATGAGCTTTTAGCATAAGAAAAGTGTCCTTTTATTCTTAAACAACCTCTTTTCTTTAAGAATTTTAAAAAGATCTCAAACATTTTTCTGAAGACCTGTCACTGAATATAAACTTTAATTTGATAAAACTTGTATCTTATGGAATTGAAATATGTCTTTTTTATCAAATTATTAACTATATGTACATTAAAATTTTTATCCTTAAAAATAGTAATTTACCTCCTAAGGTATATGTTATATTTTTTTTTCATGAGCTGATTTGATTTTTACATGTAGAATTGTTCTTTTTCAAGCAAATCAAGCTTTATAAATTACTTTATTTTTAATACGCCTGCTTAATAAAAAAAAAATTAGATAAAAAAATATATTTTTTAAAACAAATACCTCTAAATAAAGATTAATTGTAAGTTTTAAATTTGAATTATCGTAAATAAATATTTATTAAATTGCTTTATGATTAGAGTTTCCGTATATTAGGAAAAAGAATACCCCTATTACATTAATGTTGATTCTTAATATTCTAATGATGTTATTACCTGCTTTCATTTCATGTACTCACTCTAAATTTATGAAAGAAGAAACAAAAGAAGAAAAAGATAAAAAAGGTTCTAATGATAAGAAACCTGATCAAAATAAATCTAAGGTGGGATGTACTCAATCACCTCAAAGAACAAGTTCTTCTACACCGAGAAAGTGGAAATAAATACATAATTTTGATATTTGAAGTTTTTTCTCCTTTAAAAAAATTAGAACTAAATCAACGTACAATTTTACGAAACTAAAAAGAAATGAAATTGAGACTGAGCTCTCATTTATAATGCATATTGGTCACAGAATACAAACTTATATATGATCTTAATTTTAATTTAAGTTGGTCAGAATTTTTAGTCTGTAGAATAAATAAAGATGATCAGCAAAAGAGTACATAAATTTAAGAGTTTATTTTAGAAATTTACAGCTATTCTGTTTGTGTTAGTTAAAAAAAATAAGTTTTAGATACAAAGAAATTACAAGAATGTTTTATATTAAAGTTTCCTGATAAAACTCTCCTAGAATTAGATTTTTTAAAAGTATAAAAGAAAAAATAGTCTTTAGTGCTAAGCTATGTTTCCTTAAATACGCTGAGATGTAATCTGCCCTTTTCTTGCTGTGTTTTCTTGATCTTTTTTTGTTTTGTCTGCAATTAAAGTTATTTTATTTATTTTATTGTCTTTAGTGCTCAAGCATGTCTTCTATAATTTTTTATAATGCGTTAGATTTTAACTGATACTTAAGATTAAATGGTAAGAAAACAGACGTTTTTATCAATTTAAATTTACCCTTTACTTCAAATAGGAAGCAGAAAAAAGGTTTATGATGATAGCTTTTGGTTTTAAATTAGAGTTTAAAAAACTCTAATCTAATTTAAATAAGATCATCTAAACTAGAGGTTATGTTATAACGATTTTAATATTCAAGCACATATGCTATTGGATATATTTTTGTATAAACTTTTATAGAAATGTTAAGAAATTTCTAAGACTATCTCTCTCTAAAGTATCTTTTACAACTAAAGACAATTAAAATTATGTAGAAATAAGTTAAGAGATCGAAGAAGGGCTATTGTTTTAAGATACTTTAAATTGCTAATTTTAAAAAAGAATTTTTAAGGAGAAAACTAACAGATAACTACTTTAAAATTAGTATACTATCATGTGTTAACAAAAAATTGATGTTTCTGAACAATCTATACCTACAATTTTAGAAATTTTTCTCTTCTCTTCAGTTTACATGATATGTTATATCCTTAAATAGTCTTTACCCTCTCCCCCAATTTATGACAATAAATACATGATATTTGAACTTTAAATGTTTCTATTATTTTCTAAGTAATTAATAAATGTTAAGAATTGTTCAAGATAAATAAAGTAAATTTAATTTAGATTACAAATATCTAAATTTTTTTTAGCCCATTCTCAAACATAAAAAATTTTTGTTCTCTTGCTTAAAGCAATGAGGACAGAAAAAAAAGTAGGAAATTTTACCTTTTTTTCATTTTTTCATATGTTAAAAAGAACTTCTCCTCAGAACTTAATCCTAACGAACTTTAGAATTATGTGGCGTTACAACCGGGAAGGTATCCAGAACTAAGGTAGTTCTCTACAATGGACACTCCGGAATGATATAAGGGTTTATCAATAACAGATTTATTTAAGCTCTTGTGAGCCCCTTGAAAGTCTTTACTCGTCATTGGGGGTTTCTGGGTAAACTTTATTTATAGTTAAAATTCTTCTAGAACATTCTAGAAGAATAGATAACAAAATGATTAAACAAACAAATAAACAAATCTAAATCATGTAGATTAATACCACAAATTACAACATGTCTACTCACTTTCTTATTTATTTGATAAACGAAAATATCTTATACCACTTTGTCTGTATCAACTAAGATTAAATCTATTTTAGATCATATTCATATATAAATGATATGGTGAAACAAAAGGTCAAAATAAGATTTACTTGCAATCACAAAAGAAAACATATAAACATGTTTTGTTTAAAAATTTATTACAAACTAATACTTATATCCCTTATACCTGAACTGTCTAAAATCCGCAGATCTACATTTTCTAGGTTTATAACGCAATTTTCTTTAAGAACTTCATAACATTTTTTTACTGCTTCAATAGCCTCTTCCAACGAAATATCATCCTTGTATTCATTGTCGAGAATACCATAGCAAAAATACCCTGCTATTCCTACAACTGTAAATTTACACTCATACATAGCTCCATATGGATCAATAGTATATAATTGATATGCTTCATCATCCTTGCCTCCCACAACAAATGTATGGTTAAGAGGATTCCTCCTCAGAGAGTAATGCACTTTATCTTGAATTACATTAGAAACAACCTCTGGAGTAAGTGGAAGCTCATTTTGCAGCTGTTCGAATTTAATTTTTTCTGTAATGTACTGTGCTGTTCTAAACCCATCTCCTTGATTACAAATGTATGTCATGATCACTTTATTATCGATCGTACTAAACTTATCATGGTTTCTTTTTAATACCAAGTAAGAATTACAGACACTAGACTCTGTACCTATAACTACAAATTCTTTGCTTCTTATTGCCACAGAAGATTCCATCTAAGGGTAAAAAACACATTGTATAAAATTTTAAGTTTTGATAAGCATTTGTTAAGTGTAGGGTATGTCGCTTATTTTTAAGCATTTTCTTGATGCTTGTTTATTAGAAAATCAATGTTTCCTTTGGTTATTTTTAAAATATTATGAAAAATGATATTCGACATTAATTAGATGTTTTCAGTTTAACTAAAGAAATATGACATAATATAAGGTAAAGTAAACTTGCAGAAAACAAGTTCTTAAAATATTTAATAAAGCATTTTGTCGTACCTACCACGACAAAACATTTATATTAAAGAAATATTGCTAAAATAAGAATCTAAATATTTAATAATTTTAGATTTATCCATGCCCCTCTTATCAAAAATATTTAAATATATATAAAATTTTTAGTAAAAAAAAAATAATTTTGATAAGAGAGTTTTGGATAATAAAAAGTATAATACTTTATGTAGTGTATACCACACATTTTTTTAAAGTAGGGTTTTACAAAAGCACACCTGAGGTTTTTTAATGACCTTTGGTTCAAAACTAAAAAAGGTTTAGTTTTAAGCGTTAAATCAGCCTAAAAATAAAGTATAAACTTTTGAATTGTGGTATCCCCCACAGGACCAATCATCTTTTATCATACGATGTTTTACCTTTTTTTTGATTGTTTCATAAAATTTCGAAACATGGTTTCAGAATTAAATATAAGCACGCTAGGAAGTTCAGGAAATATGGAAAGACATTGAGACTCTAGAATTAAAGCAACAGACTCTAGACTACGAAAGGCAACAGATCCTTATATAAAAAAATAAATTAAAATATTAACCAAAATCTAATTGAGACATATTTTTCCTTGAGATATGTCGTGAATCTTTAATAACTAAGTATTAGACACTTAGCATTTTTATAAAATTAAAATGTAATGTTAGAGCATCTATCTAAATGTTTCTAAAGATTTAAGTAGATAAAAACAAAAATAATCATAAAAGTCATAAGACTATTTCTAAAAAAATCTTTGGCAACCCTGAGTTTAGGAACTAATTTCCAGGTAGAATGCAACCTGATGTAATATAGCTTTCAGTGATGCTAATGTCCACTATCCTTTCCAAAATAGAATTTATATTTAAGAAAACTTTTGTATATAGATGATCTAAAATAACTTTTAACTATCTAAAATCATAGTTATAAACTATTCTGGAGTTAAATCTTATTGATTTGATCAATAAAAAGGTATTTATCTATTTAACTGCTATTATAAATAATCTTAAATGAACTAAAAATTAGAATTGCAGGTAAAACCGGTAGAACCTCTGTACGATCCGAAAAGGATCGTACGGTGATTAGCGGTATTCGAAATTCGCGCGCGTCCACTTCCATCGATTGGGATTCTAGATCGATACTCATTGCGAGCATCGATC